TCTCTCTCTCTCTCTCTCTCTCTCTCTCTCTCTCTCTCTCTCTCTCTCTCTCTCTGTGGGGGGGGAGAATACAATATGGTAGATCTCCAAAGGAAAGTCCAGAAGTTGTTCCCTATGAAGAGGATACCCACTATAACCCAATCCTTCATTCAGAATCAGCTCCATCCTGTCCTGTCACCTCCAGCCACTTGACGGAACGTCTACACTAGGAACGGCTTCCTTCTGGATGGTGAACGTGTCCCTTCAGGCAAACCTCAGCTATCAGCACCTAGGCACTAGGAATCCAGTTCTCCAGAGCCCATCCTCACACCTTCAGCTGCCTACAAAGTGTGCTTTTCTCTCCTTCCCCTTCGTGATGTAGTCGGCACACAAAGCCAGCCCGCCGGTGCCAACCTTGAAAGTGCTTCAAGTCACTGACTGCTGTCCTAGTCCCTTGGCTCTAACACACTCTGGAGCCTGGAGACACCAGCTTGACAAGTGAGATAATGATGCTTTTCCTAGCTCACTTCTTTATCAGTCACGATGACGAGAACACTCCTGCAGCATCTATCCGTGCTTTTCTGTTTCTGCTGGATCCCCTTCCTAGGAACAACTCCCAGGCACCAGCCGACACTCCATTATCTGGTACATCCAGCCACCACGTGCTGCCCTCTCATCAAAGGCCTGGCTGTACTCTCCTCACCAGATCCCCAGAGCCGTCAGCTTCTGGGGGAGCAGCGGTATCACTGCCTTGCAGATGACTGGCTTACTGGAGAACAAGTCTCTTCACAGCCCGCCTGCTCTTCGGCTTCCCCAAGACAAACCTTACCCTAGTCCTGGACTAGAAATCTCTGAAGAATGTCACTCTGGAGGATTCCAAAGACCACAGCACAGAATAGATGGAGAAAGGACACGGGGGAAAGCAGAGGGTAACCATAGCTCAAAGACAATAGCCTTGAGATATTACAGTGAGCTCTTATGACATTCATTCATTTGTTCAAGCCTTTATTCAGAACCAACTGTGTCCCAGACCTTGGAACTCACATCAGACACCAGGTCTCTCCTCATGAAGCCCTGCTTCGAGGAGACCTCTGACTTACCAGCGAATCTGCCTTATATTTCACTGACTCCAATGATGACTACATTATCCTCGAAGTACAATAACCATCTTTAGTTTACAGACAAGGAAAACAGCCACTCCACGAGGCTAGAGGACATTCCCAAAGCAAAGACACAAACACAGGACTTCTAAATGAAAACCTTAGTCTCTTTCTGTGGCCTCTCCAAAGGCAAGAGCATAGCCTGACACTGAAACAGACATTAAACACACTCCATCCTACACACTATTTTTAATAATTTACTTAATTTAATTTTACATGCATTGGTGGTTTGCCTACATGTATGTCTGTGTGAGGGTGTCAGATCTTGGAGTTGCAGACAGTTGTGAGCTGCTATATGGGGGCTGGGAATTGAGCCTGGGTCCTCTGGAAAAGCAGCCAGTGCTCTTAATCACTGAGCTATCTCTCCAGACCCCTAGGCATTATTGCTGATGATTAGATATACAAATTGAGAGCCCCAATCTCCAGTGTAAGACAAGCAACAGCTCGTGAGAAGACATGTAACTAACCATCATATATGGCAGACTAACAACAGAGTGACTAAATTACAGGACGATAGCTCTGGAAAGATACACAAGAAATGATGATTGCCTCCAGGCAGGGGAATTGGATACCTGAGGAACAAGGGTCATTTTGTCTATTTCAAATATTGTATACTTTGAATTGCGAGTCATTTGAATGCATTTCCCATTAAATAGCACTTTAAGAGTGCAATCAGCCAAATCCTGGGTGTGGAAATTCTACAGGATAAATGATCTGGCTCTCCAACAAGTGAATAACTAAATAAAAAAAATAAAATAAAGAAAGGGAGAAGAAATGATAGATTCTAAAAGACTCAAGAAATGTCAACAAAATGCAATACATACACACACACACACATATATACACACATACATACATACATACATACATGTTTGGATCCAGGTTGGAACAAACTAACTATAAATATCCATCTCAGGGCTGGGATGGCTCAGTGGGTAAAAGTGCCAGCATGAGAACCTGGTTTAATTCCCAGATTCTGGGTAAGCAGGAAGATGTGGTGTCATACACCTATAACACCAGCACTGTGAGCACGCTGGAGACAGAAGGATCACTGGGACTTGCTGACCACCAGCCCCATTCCAGGTTCAACGTAAGGAAATCATGCAGAAAGTGGTAGAATACAACATCCAGTGTATAAACATGCACAGCTCACACATAGTCATAAATATATATATATACACTATATGTATATATATATATGTATATATATATGTATATATATATATGTACTTTAAAAGGACATTTCTAGGAGAAAGGCAGTCTGGACACAAACCAGAAGTTACTGTGGAATTGCTCATCTCATTACCTGTGACCACAGTATTATGGTTGTGGTTTTTCAACCACATATTGAAGAATTTATACATGAAACAATATGGCACCTGAGGTTTCATTTAAACACTTCCGAGCGAGTAAACAAAAGAGAGAAATGACAAATCGCACATTCCTCAGGCGGGACAGTCCCACGGGAGGGGTGGGGTGATTATTCTCTGCCCTGTTCTCTGTTACTTTTGTGAACAGTTAAAATGTGCATAATGAAAAGCTTAAATTCAAGTTTTCATTAACTATCCCATCTACAAAGGATGCCTGGAAGGAAAGAAGCAGAGAGGAGAGGTGTCCACACTGAGCCCAGCAGTATAACTAAGCGTTTTCTAAGAACAGTCCAGCTGCAGGAACCAAAGACGCACTGGTCTATTGTCAACCTCTCTGACTTGATGTTTGATCCCTCATCTCCCTGGTATTGCTAATACAACTGCATCAGTTACTGCATTCTGACTGAGGAGGTGTGTAACACAGCTCTACTCCTACAAAGGCCCCAATGACCTTCAGAGAACAAAAAAAAAAAACTCTTTCTGCCTAGTAACACAGCTTAGAAGTTATTATCCCTCCATAGGCAGCCTACATCCCTGCTGTCACCAGAAACACACGGTGGCCTCCCCAACAGCACTTTATAGATAACGACCTTAGTATGTGCCTTAGCTAGGGTTTCTATTGCTGTGAAGAGACACCATGACCACTGCAACTCTTATAAAGGAAAACATTTAACTGAGATGGAGAATTACAGTTTCAGAGGTTTAGTCCATTATCATCATGGCGTAGAGCAAGGTGGTGTGCAGGCAGACATGGTACTAGAGAGATAGCTGAGAGTTCTTACATCTCAACTCACAGGCAACAGGAAGTGGTCTGAGACACTGGATGTGGCTTGAGCATATATGATACCTCAAAGCCCACCTCCACAATGACACACTTCCTCCAATAAGACTACACCTACTCCAACAAGGCCACACTTCCAATGGTGCCACTCCCTTTCTTTCAAACCACCACAGTGTGGAAGACCCAGTTTGATAGGGATGGCAGTCTAAGTACTAAGTACTAAGGCACATGCACAGGAAGGAGCAGGTGGTCTTCCATTCCCTCTGTCCCAAACCCCAGAGCCAGTGGCCACTACCTCAGCACCCACTCTGTCCTCAGCCCAGCTTTCTATAGGAAGTCAACTGGCTGTGCTCATCCTGGCCCAGTTCTGACGCCCCCCCCCCAAGTCCCTTACCTGGGATCGACGCTGCAAATACTCCTCTGAGCCGTATGGGACGCTCCTCAGGGAGGTGAGATAGTCGTAACTGATGACGGCTGTCTGTGAAGCAAGGGGGGAGAAAGCTTAGCACTGAGGACGGCAAACATCACACCTCTGCCAGAGCTAGAAGACCCACACAGAAGTTACTGGGACTATAAGAGGAGCTGGCCCCACCCCTTGGATGCTCAGCCCCCAGATCTTAGTCTGGATGCTCCTTCCTGGCCTTCAGGGGTAAGCATAAATGGCACTCCTCCAGAGATGTCTGATCTCAAGTTCCCTTTACGAGAGAGAGAAGACTATACAGCTTAGAGGCTGGTTTATGAAAGAGCCCATTGACATTTCCCTGCCTTCCTTCTGGCTATTCAAATCCTAAGGGTCCACTCAAATCCTGCTTCTTCAGAATACTCATCCTGACTCCCAAGATCCAGTGCTCACTCCTACATCTGACCATGGCAGCAGTCCTGATGTGTGCCTGGCTTTAAACTGCTTTTGAATGCGTTCATGTATATGCTCCATGACCACAGGCTCCTTCAAAGCTGGGTCTAGATAGAACTATCTTTTTTACCCCTCAAAACATAAAACAGTGGGCCCCAAAATGCACTAGGTAATCAGCTAGAAATGGTTTCATATCCCATAGCCTGTTATCCCAAAACCCGATTGTCTATTTGATTCTTTAACTCAGTTTCCCCTTGAGGACAGGCACCAAGCCAATGGCCTCCCTCGGAAAACATTTGACAACACTGAGTTCTTGGGAAATAAACTAAACAAACGACATCATGATTCATAGCCACATGGGGGGAGCAACAGCAGCTGTTATCTATGCTCACCAGCAGCAACTAAGGAGAGAGAGCATGATGCGTGTGGCTGGCAATCTAGTCTGCAAAGACCGTACTGCAGTGTCTGGGAGAAGAGCCGGAAGCAGAGGTAAGAAGCCATGATGGGTGCTGGAGAGATGGTGAGTGGCTAAGCTGACTTCCTGCTCTTGCAGAGATCCTGGTTTGGTTCCCAACACCTGGTGGCTCACAACCATCTGTAGCTTTAGTTCCAGTGGATCTGACATCCTTTTCTGACCTCCAAAGGCCTGCACAAGTGTACATGCATACATACTTACACACATACATATATACACACATACAGGCAAAACATTCATAAACATAAAATAAATAATAAATCTAAAAAAAAATCTAAAAAGACATAACACCAAGAGGATATTGCTATTAAACCACCAGAGAAAACATCTTAAGTCAAATATTTAAATCAGAGTCCCTGTTTGTTTTTGGATGGAGTTCTCCCAGCCCCAGAAAAATCAACATGTAAGTACCAACTCTTCATATTAGCTCACTGGAGTGAAATCAAGTTTGCTGACAGAAGTTTTTCTTTCTAAAGAAGGATTGTTTGTGTATATGTGCATGTGTGCATGCGTGCATGTATGTGTGTGTTTGTGTGTGTGTGTGTGTGTGTGTGTGTGTGTGTGTATTCAAAACAGGATTTCTCTGTATAGCTCTGACTGTCCTGGAACTCACTTTATAGACCAAGCTGGCCTCGAACTCACAGAAATTTGCCTGCCTCTGCCACCTGAGTGCTAAGATTAAAGGTGTGTACTAACAGGCCTGGCTAAAGATTCGTGATTTCAGAGTGTCCAGTCCATGTTAGCTTTGTCCCATGCTCTTGCTGGAACACCATAGTGGTGGGAACCTGTGGTAAGGAAGGCCTCCTAAAGAGTTCACCTCAGAACAGCCAGGAACCTTAAAGATGGTAGGCAGAACCGGACTGTCAAAGTCTTCTGTCCTCGGCACTGTGCAAGGATATTGCCCCTCTGAGTCATCACCACCATTAGACACGAGCCTCAGAGGCTGCAGTGCAGGGACCTGGCATGACCCTGTTGCATTCAACCATAGAGCGGCAGTGGTTGTTACAGGACCAAAGGCCTGTGATGATGCACACGTGACCCTGCAGCTCTGGAGACAGAGTTGACATGCCTGTGTTTCCACAGACGTCAGCACATCCACCAGCCACACCCACGGAACACCTACAGGTAATGCTGTGACTCCTCTGCTACCCCCAAAGGAGAAAAACCTACCGTAGCAACAGCTCTGCCCACCCTAACAGCGCCAAAGTCATTGGGGTCCAAGTAGTTGTTACTGTAGAGGTAGACCCCAGAGGCAGCAAGAGCCACACTGGTCCACGAAGCAAGCTTGAGAGCCTTTCTGGCCATGTCCCCAGACCCTGTGCAAGAAAGGAAGGTCGAGAAAGGTTAGCAATTAAGGGTTTCATAGAATGTCGGTCCAGAATACAAATCCCATCTCTGCCACTCACAGATCGTATGACCTTATGTCATTTTCTTAACCCCATGGGACCTCAGTTTCTCCATTTATAAAACAAGAAAGTGCCTACCACAAAATTAAGATGAAGTGAAATAATCACATAAAGTACTTAGCATAGCACCTGGTATGAATCAATTCCCAGCATCCTTCCTTCGACAGCACCGGGTGCTGGTCTAGCTACAGTGGAGAAGGCGAAAAACCTACAGTTCTTGTCTGTGCGGAGCTTACGCTCTAGGGTGGGGCAGAGGAGAAGCAAGAAAAGATACAGAGCACACTATCAGAGCTACCAGGAAGTGGCAGGAATCAGAGGGTCAAGAGGCTAAAGGATCCAGGAGTGGGTGCTTTTTAGATAGGAAAAGCAGGAGAGGCATGTTCACTTGTGGCACTTGGCACTAGTGTTACAATACACAGACACCATTCGCCTTGATGCACAGATCGGAAGTAGGCAGACCCCAGCCAAAATGGTAGCGAGGCAGAAGCAGTCAGTAGTTCCTCCATTTCCAGCCGATAGCCAAAATGCCTACAGTTTATACTGTGCTCCTGGGGGAAGACTGATGCTACTCTATCCATACACAGTCCTAGGCGTCTTTTGGGAACCAACTTGGACCACTGGGAAGAAAGACCCTATCCACTTTTACTCATATCTCCTCCTACCACCAAGTGGCTACACAGACATTGTTTGGTGACACTACACCCAAAGGGCTACCTCCTCAACAACCCCCGAGTACTCTACAACCAACTCAGCCCTTGACCCAGCTGCAGGTGCCAAAGGTCAGGCCCCAGACAGAAAGGAGCATCACCAAGCCTCCTGTCAGTGCAAGGACTTCAGAGACACAGTAGCAAGATGCAGGTCATGACCTCGTAAGTGTCTGCTCTGGCCCCGTTCTGTCACTTGGTTTCTCTCTGCATAGAAGCTATTGTTACAAACAGCCTTGTCTTCCATTTCTCTGTAGTCTATTTTGACTCATGCCTCATAACACAGACATGGGCTTTCCTTTAAATACACACAAAGCACATCTTTTTCCATTCTTTTACTTTCAACCATTTTATACCATTTCTTTAAAGAGCATATAGCTGGTTATGCCTAGAAAGGCATACACTCAACTAGCTTGTGCATCTGTATTGAAATTCACCACCTTCTTTCAACCCTTCCTACTTTTCCTACCTGTTCTGCTCCTCGCCTTTCTTTTTTTCAAGATTTATTGTATTTATGTGTATATGTATGAATGTGTATGTGATCACATACCCAAAGGAGACAGAAGAGGATGTCAGAGTCTCTGGAGCCCGAGTTGCAGGCAGCTATGAGTCCCTAGACACAGATGCTGGGAACCACGTCCAGTCCTCTGAAAGAGCAGCAAGCACTCTTAATTGCCAAGCCATCTCTCCAGCCTACTTTCTCTCCTTTCTTGACGTCTCCTGGACCCAATGATACTTTTCACTGAGTTCCATTACATTTCCTTTTGCTGCTGCTGTAGTTACTGTTGAAGAGACACCAGGACCAAAGCAACTTATAGATGAAGCATTTGATCGAGGGCTTGGCTTACAGTTTCAGAGGGTTAGTTCATGATCATCATGGCAGGGAGCCTGGTGGCAGGCAGGCAGGCAGGCATGGTGCTGGAGCAGTAGCTGAGAGCTCACAGCCTGATCCACAGACAGGAGGAAGAGAGTGGGAGACTGGGCATGGTGTGGGCTTTCGAAATCTCAAAGCTCACCCGCAGTGACACACTTTCTCCAGCACAACCATACCTCCCAATTCTTCCTAAACAATCTACCAACTGGGAACCAAGCATTCCAATTGATGAGCCTACACGGGGGTGGGGAGGTCCTGTCATTTAAAACAGCACAGCAGCCTTGTTTTCCTAGCCCAGAATTTGTCAAGGATGGTCTGAGGGACACCTGAACTGAAACTAGCCTTTGTGCCGCTTCAAAACACAGGGTGCTGGATCCCACCCTATGGCCCGCTGAACCACCAACTCTGCGGTAAGGCTGTGAGCAAGTTGGCGGTGATTTTCCTCAAAAGCTCAGGTCAGCAAACACTCTTCCCTACCTGCACTCCAGGTGGATGCTGAGGCCATGCAATATTACAGGCATCCACTCCACTCTATTATTCATTTGTTGGTTGATAAATGCTGCTGGTGGAAGAAGCAGATGGAGGCTAGACTGTTAGGATAGAAGAGCTTAATTGTTAACATCCACCACCAACTCTCCTGGACACCTATCGGGTCAAAAGTAAGATGTATGACCATGGTTATGATTTTAATAAGAAAAAAAACCTACAGGCAATGTGTCAAACACCGTGCTGGCAATATTTTGTGGGGTTCTAGGAAAGTCAGGAGATGGGGGTCTAGTTGGGAAAAGCAAGGCTTTGAAGACTAGACTGGTCCTTGGTCATTTCCTCGCCCTCTGCATCCTGTCCACCAAGAAGAAAGCATCCTCAACCACACGATCCTACGGCCACGATGCTCTGCCCAAGAGCATGGGAGGCCAAATGACCCTGATGTGAAACTATGAGCAAAATAAATTCCTTCTCCTTTTGTCTATATAAGACAGCATAATGAGAAAAAGAATTATGATACAGTCTGTGGTGGTTTGAATATGAATGACCCCATAGGCGCACATATTTGAACGTGTGATCATTAGGGAATAGTACTACTTGAGAGAGATTTAGGAGGTGTGGCCCTGTTGGAGACGTCTGCCACTAGGGTTGGGTTTTGGATTTCAAATACTTGAGTCAGGCCTAATCTCTCTCTCTCTCTGTCTCTGTCTCTGTCTCTGTCTCTGTCTCTGTCTCTCTCTCTCTCTCTCTCTCTCTCTCTCTCTTCCTGTTGCTTGCAAATCTGGATGTAGAACTCTCAGCTACCTCTCCAGCACCATGTCTGTCTTTATGCCACCAAGTTTCCCACCATGACGACAATGAACTAAACCTTTGAGCTGTAAGCCAGGCCCAATGAAATGTTTTCCTTTCTAAGAGTTGCCATGGTCATGGTGTCTGCTCACAATAGAAGCCCTAAGACATAGCCATTCTTCTGAAACAGTGGCTCTCAACCTTCCTACTGCTGTGACCCTTTAATACAGTTGCTCATGTGGTGACCCCCAATGATAAAATTATTTTCGTAGCTACTTCATAACTTTAATTTTGCTACTGTTGTGAATTGTAATATAAATATCTGCATTTTCTGATGGTCTTAGGTGGCCCCTATAAAAGGGTTATGACCCGCAGGTCTCTGAGAATCACTGCTCCAAGACCTCAAGATCAAAATAGAAGTAAACATAGTAAGTCAGCTATTAAATACAGCAATTCTCTTCCCTCAGTAGGTTTATTGTTTGTTTGTTTGTTTGGTTGGTTGGTTGGTTGGTTGACTGGTTTGAAATAGAGTCTATGTAGTCCTGGCTAAACTGGATCTCACTATTTAGACAAGGATGGCCTCAAACTCCCCACCACCCTCAGCGTCCCCACAATGATTCCTATATAGAAACTAAAGTTCAACTATTCACTCTGTGCATGCAGCTATCCAAACACTCTCAACTGACTCACAAGAGCCAAGGTCTTAAGAGATCTGCCTCCAGATTTCTCGAGGATCTCTGGCCCTTCCACCCTGACCTCCACTCACTCTATTCCAGCTTGCTAGTTTTCCAACATACCACAAACTGCACTCCAAGGAAAGTAAGGAAACTATGTGTGCTCTCTGCCTAGAACAGAGGCAAGCTCTTCCACAAAGGGCCACACAGTAACTACTTCTACCTTTGGGGGCTACCCCATCTCTAAGGCAACTCCCCAACTCCGCATTCTAGTGCAAGACAACCAAAAAGGCCGCATAAAGCAATGGGCCTGGTCAAATGTAGTCCCCAGGATGTAATAAGCCAGACTGTAAGTGTGCCAAAAACATTTACTAACTGAATTAATCAATGAATGGAGCACCTATAGGCCCCATGAGGCATGAGTAGAGCCAGTAACACAAGTCTCTAGATGAATATCCCAAACTTCCAACTCAATAGTCATTCTCTCCCCATTTCCCCCAGACCGCCTCCCAACCTTTGCTCCTCTGAACCCCACCCTCCTGTTGTACCATCCTCGACAGCAGCCCATGAAGGACTGCAGTCTTGCCTACCCTTGAGACCACCTCTGAGTATCAAAGGAACAGGGAGGCAATCCCATTTTCAAACAAATGTCCTCAGTAATAAAAGCGGTAGGAATTGAAATACATAAAATAGATGATATAAGAGCCAAACTGTGTCTAAATAAATTGGAGTTGGAGCTTTCCATAAGGTGTCAGAGAGTCTTCGACATATAAATGAGCTGTTTCCCTCGGGGTATTTTAAAAGGCCTGTCACACATGAAGTATGTCTGTCAATGAAAAACACCTTTCATTATTAAGGTGTCTGCTAATGAATCACCTGCCCCGTTCTGTTTTCTTGCCTTGACTTTCACCTGTGTTACCTCTCAGACGGCCACACACCTTACAGGAGGTCTGAGGCTACCAAGAGCCTTAAACATAAGCGCTAGATAATATTATTAGCAATAATCAACCTTTACAGAGTTCTCTACACACGTGGGGCCGGGTGGTGCACACTTTTAATCCCACCACATGGTACACTCATCGTGTTAATATTTCACACAGAGCAGTAAGATGAGGCAAGCATCATCCTCTCGGGTATAAACGAGGACACAAAGACACAGAGTGTTCAGCCCCAGGTGGCGCAGCCAGTAAATTGGCAAAGAAATGATATAAACAGGACTTTCCACTGCAAATGTTCAGCCAGTCCCTTTGTTCTTTTTAAGATTTATTTTAACCTGTGTGTGTGTATGTGTCTGTATATGTCTATATGTATATGTCTGTGTATGTATGTGTGTCTGTGTATGTCTGTGTTTCTGTGTGTGTCTCTGCATATTTGTGTTTCTGTGTCTGTGTGTATATGTGTCCATGTGTGTCTGTGGGGGGGTCTGTGTGTGTGTGTGTGTGTGTGTGTGTCTGTGTGTGTGTGTGTGTGTGCAGGTGCACGTGGAGATCAGAAGGGGAACACAAGATCCCCTAGAGCTGGTATTACACATTTGTGAGACATCTGATGTGGGTTCTAGGAACAAAACTCAAGACCCCTGAATAAGCAACACATCTGAGCTCATATCCATAAGCCAGCTCTCCAGCCCCATCTTTCCTTTTTTTTTTTTACGACAAATTTGTTTGGTAGTGAGACTTGGACCTCAAGACGTTAAGTAAGTCCTTACTACTGGCTTAAAGTAAACAGAGCTGCTGCAGACAGAAACTATCACTTTTGACCTGCTACCAAGCCTATGGAAGGCAGTGTTTGCAGCTCTGGAAGTCAATAATAGCATGTCAAAGATCAAGCAATATCCCTCACTAGCAATGATACATTCAAGCCTGAAACACTGACTGACGTGGCTGTTTAATTGTCAAATCAATGGGAAGAATGAATTCTTTGTCCCTGGGCCAGAGAAGACCCCCCAGTTCATCATGACACCATATACCAGGAAGCTGAACAAGGGGGAGCTGATGGCCAAACAAAAATGTCCATCACAAGGACAGAACTAAATAAGAAATCAAGCACTGACTGTAAATGGCCTTTCCAACTAACGCCTACTGGCTGCCCCTTCCCAGGCCACATCCTGAGAATACCAGCCTGAAATTACAGCCCCCCTCACATTCCCCCCTCGAAAACACCACTGAGGGAAGTCATGGAGGGAGCAAATTCACTTTTTCCCAAAAAATGACCCTGGCTACCTCCCATTTCCCACAGAGATTATTGGGCAAATGAGCACTAATTTTTTTTTTCATTCGTTCTCCAAAACAGAAAAGACCCAAAAAATACTCTTGGAGAGAAACAACAAGATGAGTCAACTCCCAGGAACAGCCGACCTGGGGAGGCTCCCAGTCTCTGCCCTGCTACAAAGAGTGGTAACGTTCAATGCAAGAGTGAGCTTTAACTACACCACCTAGAGTGTCATGGCTAGAAATTACTCAGATCAATATCAATTAAATTAAGGCGTACCTGACCAAGGCCAAGGTTCCTCAGCAGATAAGGAAAATCTCACCCAGGCACAGATGAGAAACCTCGAACTCAGCTCATCTTAGCAAAGGGACTAGCAACATAAGGCCAAGAGCAAAGGGCAAGCAGCAGAGAAGTCAGGGCACTTCCCAAAGATGCTTAAAGCAATAGCTCCCGTAACTGGCACTACTAGATTCCCAGGTGCGTATCCTTGGAGATTCACTTTACAGACAAGGAAGTGGAAGGAAGTGCCCAAGGGTTAAGAGCCAATGGAACAAAGGCTTGAATCCAGGTGTGTCTGCTTGGACACCAGAACAACAGGTGGATATGAACGAAGAATTGGCTGGATCCTGGGGCGGCCAGTGGTTCTCTGTCGTGGACACTGAGACCTAGGTGACCCAGTGTGCTGTCTATTGGGGTTGGACAAGACAGGGAGGGATGACAAAACCAAGCATCCTTCTCATTCACCTTCTCTGACAAAAATCGGGTGGGGTGGAGTATCTATGGAAAGAAATGAAATGCAAATTCTCTCAGAGGAGGTAAAAATCTCACCCCATACGGCCTGTTGAATACCAATCAAGCAAATAACACAGTAAAATAAATTAAGATCTAGCCCAGGGGGAAAAAAATGATACGAGTGACAAAACTACGTGAGTATACATATGTAATGTAATGGGGTGGAGGGTGGGCCACAGGAAAGCAACTCCCAGGGGCGGTACAGCTGCAGCAGTGAAGCGGGCAAACATGGACAAAAGCAAAAACAACAAACAAACAAAAAAAACACAACCATAACCAGGTATGAAGAATTTATGAATTTTTTTTTCTTCTAAAATAGTAGCATTCAAATCATGGTCCCCAGGACAACAACATTGTATCTCCAGGATTCATGTTAAACATGCCGATTTCAGACTTCAAATACCATCCTAGAATCAGAAGTTTGGAGGGGAATGGGCAGAATTCTGTATAGTAACAAGCCCTCCACATAATTCTGCTGTGTACTATACAGCCTGAGAACTACGGTGACGAGAAGACGCTTAAAGAAAATTTGTGACAGGACAAAATCTAATTCCTATCAACTCAGCAATTCTTTCTCGAGCGCCTACTAACCGCTAAGCTTCCCACTTGGTGGCAAGTAAACGCCACTGGAGTCTGGGACAGCTGTACTGGGTGTCTTCTAATGGCTTTCTCTCCATAAATCAGCTGGATGCACAGGGCATCTGGAAATTAGACTCGCGGATCAAAAGTAGACTGGCGCCTGTTGCAAGCTTAGGTGACCTGGTCTCTAGGGAGCCCCCTGCTCTTCACCACTCCACGCTCACCGCCCCCGGCTACCTCCGCGTGGAAGCCCACAAGGCCACCAAGGTGAGAATGCTTCTGGCGGAGCCACTCGCAGCCCCTCTCCACCTCCGCCTACCGGTGCACGCAAGGTTGGGCCACCAAAGTGACCAGTCCGCGCTAACGACCGCTAGGGCACAGAGCTACAGAGCCGCAGAGAAAGGGGGCGGGGCACTGCGAGTCACCAGAACCACGTGGTCGCGCCTACTGAGGTGACAAGGTCACACGCCCCAGTTTCCTCCCAGCTTCGCCAGGGCTGCAAAGCCTGAGCTCAGGAGATGAGGAGCCCGTCTGCACCCGCTCCCCCGCGCTCCACGAGCCGCGCGATCTGGGGGCCGGGTCTGTCCTGGCTCGGTGCGCGGGTGCTACTCACCCAGAGGGAAGAGAAGCAGAACCGCCTGGATCCCAAACTCCAGGAAACCGTACCTCCGCCACCCCGGCGCTTACTAAAGCCGGGGCCGCGCGGCCTGCCGGGACTTGTAGTTCTCCTCGTTTCCTTAGGCCGCGGACCCCAGCCAGAGCACCTGCTATTCTGAGACTACACCACTCTCCATCCCTGAGCCAGAGCGGAGTCTTTCTCTGTCGTTTTTCTCTGCCTGAGATACCGACGAGGAATCTTATCCAGAATGTTTTTCAGGAGTCAGGTTATGGATTCGTATTTAGTGAGAGGATGCAATTGTAGAGCTGTAGGCTTTAAGTAGGCATTAGAGTGAGTCAGCGAAGAAGAAATTTACTGACAGTTTTCAAATAGTAAGAACACGCAGATGGATCTGAGTTATCTGTGATCCTGATATATTGACCTCTAATGACCAAATGTTGACTTAGAAGATGTACTTTGAAAACATTTACAAGACACCCATGCTATAAATATCAGAAGCTGTTCCCGTTGTAGGAAGACAAAGACAGAATGGGGGAATTCATCTGTCAATTCAATGTAATTCTAATCAAATCTCCAACAGGATTTTTACCTGGCCCTTCACAAGCTGATCAAAGGATTACATAGGAAAACACAGAATAAAGCATAATCAAAACATTAGTGAAGAACATGCTTCAAGGACTTGGACTTCCACATTCCACAAGTGCAATTAGGCCATGAAAATTAAGACCATGTGACATTGGCATAGGCATGAGTAGAAGGGTAGAATCCCCAAAAGAGCCCAGAAGCCTCCAGACCTCTGTGGAAGCTTGATTCTGATAGGCAGGCATTCCAGATCATGGGGAAATATGGGGGTTCCAGGGCATGAGCTGAACCCTAGTTATCTGTGGGACCCTTCAACTAGCTCCACATGCAGAAACTAATTGAAGTTAAGAGTCCAACGAGAAAATTAAGGCAAATTTTAAAGGAAAACATCCTCATGAGCTCAAGAAAGGGCTTAGGTGTCATATGCACCACATGTAAAGGGATCCTTGATACATTGAAACTGTATTAAATGTAAGAATTTAGCTTCATTGAAAGGCATCATAAGTAAAAAGTCACATATTTGACTGAATGTGCTGGTGCACATTTAATCCCAGCACTCAAAGGGTAAAGGCATATGGATCTCCGTGAATTCAAGACTAGCCTGGTCTACAAAGCCAGTTCCAGGACAGCCAAGACTACATAAAGAAACTCTGACTCAAAAAAAGAAAAGGTGAAAAAAAAAGAAAAAAGAAAAGGTGGTGGGGGATACTTTAAAAAGGGTAAAAGAGCCACGTGAAGACTGGAAGGAAGTGATTGCAGAGGCCGGAGAGCTAGCTCAGCAGTTAAGAGCACTTGCTGCTCTTACAGAGGACCCAGGTTCATTCTCCAGCACCCACATGGCAACTCACAACTAACTGAAACTTCAGTTCCAGGGGATCCAATGCCCTCTTCTGACCTTTGTGAGCACCAAGCACACATGTGGTTTATACACGTACATGTAGGTCAAACACTTATAAAATCAAATGAATAAATCTGTTTTGTCCCAGGGTGCACAAATAATGGGGTACAGATCACCGAAGTCTAGGAAGCAGAAGCTAACTTTATTCCAGTCACTCCAGGGAAAGGGAAAAAAAGAGAGAGAAAGAAAGGAAGGAAGGAAGGAAGGAAGGAAGGAAGGAAGGAAGGAAGGAAGGAA